AATGAAATTGAGTTTGACACCCCTGTTTTAGAGAGAAGGCAGAGTTCCTGGTGTTCCATTTATAAACCTTGTATAGGTAGTCCTCACTTAATGCCATTCATTCAATGACTGTTCAAAGTTACAGGTAGCCCTTGACTTACAATAGCCCATTTACAGCAGTGATGAAAAAAGTGACTTAACGACCATTTTTCACACTTACTACCGTTGCAGCATCCCCATGGTCATGTGATCAAAATTCAGATGTTTGGCAACTGACCCATATTTATGACTGTTGCAATGTCCCGGATTGTGTGATCCCCTTTTGAGACTATCATGCCCCTGGTGGAGACTGACTCTGAGGAAGAGGAGGAACAGCCAACAGGGAGTGGGAGTGTGGCTCCAGAGGTTGTGGAGGAGGCTGGGGAAGGGCAGAGGCTGGCTGAGCAGGCAGAGGAGGACCCAGGCCCATCCCCTCTCCATCCTAGGGCACGCAGGACGAGAGGATAAGGGAGAGATGTGGTCTACTTGGGAGGAAAGGGCCTTGATCCTCTTCATGGGCTGCAGGTGTGACAACTGAAAAAGAGTTTGGACCTGCGTACTGGCAAACGCTGGAAACAAATCGTGTAAATATCTCTAGTTTATAGTTCCTCTCTGAGTTTGGCGTCCTTCCCAGTGTGTGTTATCTGTGAACATCCTCCAGCCCTTATCTTGCCTGGTTTGTGTTCCTTTTTTCCTTCTTTGTGTAACTGTGTGGGAGTTTTTTTGTCTTCCGTCAAAGATATTTGAAGCTTGGAAGCAAACTGAAGGAATAAAAGGGGTTTCACCTGTTTTCTGTGACCGTGTTTGTTTTGTATCCCACCCTGGGTCATCACAGTGACCTTCTGACAAGCAAAGTCAATGGGGAAACCGGATTCACTGAACAACCATGTTACTAACTTAACAACTATAATGATTCACTTAACAACTGTGGCAAGAAAGGTTGTAAAATGGGGCAAAACTCACTTAACAAATGTCTCAGCAACAGAAATTTTGGGCTAATCATGGTCATAAGTCGAGAACTACCTGTATTATAGTTCTGAAGGAGACTTCTGCTAGTTTTCAAAGTTGTTGCAGCATTGCCTAGTTAAGTGATTGCCATTTGCAACTTTCTCTGCTGGCTTCCAACAAACAAAGTCAATGAAGGATTTGGAAGGAGGTTGCAAATGGCAATTGGATAATATCATGCTTATTACCTGTGTGGAATTTGCTTAATAACAGCAACTGGGACTGCTATTGTAAGTTGATGTAAGTTGCCTCAGATAGAAAGTCCATTCAGTGAGTGGTAAGGACAGCCGAGAAGATTATAGGAAACTCACTTCCTGTCATTTAGGATACTGCTTATAAGCGCTATATGCTTACAGCTCAAAGCATTGTTAGAGACCCCACACAGCCACTTCATGGTCTGTTTCTGTTGCTCCCCTCTAGGAGGAGGTTTCAAAGTATTTCTAGCAGGACTTCCAGATTCTGTAACAGCTTTTTTCCCTATGCCATCCATCTGGTAAACTTGCAAGATTTGTTTCTCTCACCACGTACATGTATACATCCGAACTAGACTGTGTTGTTTCTCCAATGTCATATAATATATAAGGGTACGTGCTTTATTTATTTATTATTTTGTCATGTTTATGTTTATATTAGAGGTAGAGACCCTTTGAGAGCTGTATGCAACGTACTTTTGCTGTATGCAACGTACTTTTGATATATGCCGATTAGTGTACATTCAAAGTGACAATAAAGCTATTGTAAGTCTAATTATGCTCATTATGCTTTACCATTGCATTGCTCAGTGACAGAGTTGCAGGTCCTGATTACAGTTGTTAATCGAGGTCTACCTGAACTTCTATAGTTGTCTTTTAGGTTTTTCTTTTTAAGTATGGAAAATACAATCTACCAGCCCAGTCATTGAAGGAGGGCCAAATGTTTTGCACAAGGATCAGGCAGGATTGTATCCAGAGCAGTGGTGGTATGCTACTGGTTTAGATCGGTTCAGCCAAACTGGTAGTAAAAAAAAAAGCAATCAGCTGAGAGGAGAAAGAAAAGTGCAGGATCCCCCCTCTCACCTACCCCTGCACTTTCCTCTTCTTTATCCTCTCAGCTGATTGGCGCTGCAGGCCTCAGCTGGTGTGAGGAAAGCTGCATGTGCGCATTAAGTGCATGTGCATTAGGTGCGCGCACACATGCGCATGATCACTGAACCAATAGTGGAACAGGTAGGATCCCACCGCTGATCCAGAGCACCTGTGTTTGGTCTGGGTAAAGACTAGGGACAGCATATTCGGGAAAAGGTGTTTCGGATTGACAAACAGTGGGGAGAAAGGGCCGTGAATGGCAGCAGAAAGGCAAGGGGCCCAGGGGGCAACTGAAAAGTGGTAGTGGAATCAGAGTACTTGGTGCAGAGACATCGGGCAAAGTCTTTGGGTGGGTACAAGACATGGGCGGTGGTCAGTGGTGGGATTCAAATAATTTAACATCCAGTTCGCCAAGGTTCAGGTTGGCTGTTGTGGGAGGTGTGGCCAATCCCCATCCTCCAGCTCCACTGCACATGCAGGACAAGCTTCCCCCAACAGTCAACCTGGCTCTTGGTGAACCGGTTGTTAAATTACCCCCCACAATCAAAATGGATCCTGGGTGCTGCGCTGCACTGCAATGGAGAAACGGGCAATGGAGCAGCCGACATGAGGGAAGGAGGAGGGAAAGCGGCCTTCTCCATTACAGTGCTGCACCCAGGATCCACTTTGATAGCGCGGGATGGGTAATTTAACAACTAGTTCGCCCAAACTGGTGTGAACCAGCTGAATCCCACCACTGGTAGTGGTGAAATGTAGCATCCGTGAACCCTATTTCCTTTTTAAAATGCCTTTGGATTTGGCTCAGTGGATCCCGAGACCAATCTAAATCGTCTGGTTTCACTTTAGCCGCATAACAACCCATTGCAAATCCTATCAACATTTGAAAGCACAGAGCGTTTGCTTCATGGAGCAAAATGCATTATTTTCATTTCTGGTGTGGTTTTTTATGCCGATGGCTAGCCCGGCCTTCAAATCTGAAGGAAATTATTTCTTTGAATTGCAATCTTATTCCTGATTTAATAAGGCAACTAAAATTGTCTAAATTTTTAGGAAAACCTGAAAAGAGGAAAATGTATTTCCAAGTTAAAATAAAGTTGGGATTGTCGAGAGCTGCTTCCCTGGATTTGCCCACGAGTAGAGGCGGTTAGGATGTTTGTCAGTATGGAATATTGTATGGAATAGTAGTTGTAGTGGCCAGACAGTCCATTTGCTGCTTGCCAAATACCTCCTGGTACAATGCCAAGGGGAAAATTTTTGTTTATCCTGCCTTTATTATAACCCAAGGGAGCAAACACATCTAATATTTCTTCCTCCTCCTCCTAGTTTCCCCACAACAAATCAGTTTGAAGATCCAGCCCATCTTGCTGTCTTTCATCATGTCTTTCATCATTTTGCTTGATTTGTACTTTTTTAAAAAAATATTTTTTTTTTATTAATTACATTTCTTAGTGCTTAATAAACATTGTGTTGTCTGGGTATTTAATTTGTTTAGCAATACGGATTATATTTTTAATTTCCGCCCCTTTTTTCCAACCACTGATAAAATAAGTTACATGTTTGATAATATTCTGTGTCTTCTTTCTGTTTAATTTTCAATGTGTCTATCCATTTCTGCACAATCTAGTATCTCTTTAATTATCTCTTCATTTTGCAGTGTTTCTTCATTTTTCCAATATTGTGTGAAGATAATCCTTACTGCTGTTAAGACATGTAATATTAAACACATACTTTTCTTATCCCATTTTTCTGACATCATCCCCAATAAAAACAGGTCAGGTTTAAAATCTACATGTTTCCCTGTTATCTTTTCTAGCCATCTGTGTATTTTTGCCCAATTGTTTTTTTATTTTAACACAAGTCCGCCACATATGATAAAATGTGCCCATTTTTAAAATTACGTTTCCAACATTTGCTAGACATATTTTTAAACATTTTAGCTAATCTAGCAGGTGGGTAAATGCCACCTATAAAAGATTTTATCTGAATTTTTTTTATAAGAAGTTGCTACTGTTAATCTATAGTTCCCTTTTCATAAATTTTGCCATTTCTCTAGATCTATGTTATAGCCAAAGTTTTTGCCCCATTGTACCATTGTGTCTTTTATTTGTTCAACCATTTTTAAATTTAGTAAGAAGTTATATACCTTCTTAAGTAGGTTTTAATCAGAGTTCACCAGTGCCTTAACTTGATTTGTACTTCTTCATCAGGAAGAAGTACTTCCTCTTAAGTTTCTTTAAAGTGGCCTCTTTGTATTCCATTTCCAAACCTGGGCCGAGAGCGGAGATCTCTCGGTCCCTTACTGCCCTCTACGGGTCAGCTTTCTCCTGCAGCCTGAAATCTTCGGCTTTTTCCTTTTGCAAACCGGTTGCCACAGTGCTCACCTGCGCTTGCACCGAAGAAGCAACGAAAGGGAGTTTATCCAACTTTCTGCAAGCGCCCGTTCTCTTAGGGCACCAGAAGAGCCCTCCATTTTTTCCCACACACCCTCCCCCTTTGGCCCAGGTCACTCCCTGGAAATTGAGGAGATCGGTTTTTAGGCATTTATTTATTTGTCAAATTTATATGGCCGCCCCTCTCACACGAAGTGACTCCGGGAGGCGTAATATAAACCCACTAATTAAGAACGTTCTGTAAAACTATTTTTTTCTTCCAAAAAAATAAAACAATAAAGTAAAGCAAGACCGCGAAGGGGAAGTATTACATTAAAAAGAATGTAATAACGAGGTAAAGAGCAAGTCCCCTGGGCGGGGGGGGGGGACATGTTTTGAGGGTTTAAAAAAAAAGGTTTGGGGCTAAACCTCCCCTCGGGAAGGACGATGTTCCAGAGGGAGGGGGGGTCCCAGCAGAAAAAGCCCGCCTCGGACGTCCAGCTGGATGGAAATTTTTCCCTCTCTGCCGGTCCTCCCGGGACAGGTAAAGGTAATCGGCCATAAACGGTTTAAACGCCGTTTTGCACCAGCAGTTAAATGCATTTAAGCTTTGCCCTTCACCATCCGCGTTGCACACGCACGCTTGGAGGAGTGGAAATGAAACACCCCGGCGGCTTCTCCCTCTCTTTCCTCTTTCTGCCCTCGGGCACGCACCCGTCTATAAATCGGCCCGCGCCGCCATTCCTGGGTGGAAAAGAAAAAAAAGAAAGAAAGAAAGAAAAAGAGGGATTAATTCCATATAGACGAAGCGATCGTTCCAAGGGCGCAGAAGCGGGAAAAGGCAAATCGAGGCAACGACAGGAGAAATCTCCGTGGAGGGTTAAAGCGGTGAGGTAAGCTCTATTTGTAATTGTAATAGAGACAGATGCGCGTTAATTCTCCAAACCGGGCGCTAGTTTGTTGGCTGCCTCTGGAAATCGCAACGTTTCGCGGTCGCCCGGGTTCGACTTATAACTGGAAGGGGGGCTTGCGGGCGACAAAGTGCCGCGTTGAACTCTTAAAAAAGAGGAGAGTTGACATCAGCCCGTGTGGGGCAGGCGGCCCCCTTCGCTGGCTTGGCTCGCTGCTCCCTCCTTCCTTCTCCGTCTCCTCCCCTCCTGATGGAGAAGGTTGAAGCGATTCTGATAGGAGAGTGGACGGCTCCTTGGCTGGAAAAGGAGGGAGCGAGCGAGCGAGCGGGAGGAGGAGGACGGCGACTCCCGGGCGACTGCAGTTGGCGGTGGGATATTGCCCGCTCGCTCCGGGTTTTCGCCTCGGAGGGAACGTCAAAGGTGGCTACTGGGAGCACGCGGTCGCCGCCGGGACTTTCTTGCTTTTTCTTCGCTTCTTCTTCTTCTTCTTTTTTTTCTTCTCCTCCTCCTCCTCCTCCTCAGCTCCGGTTTGAGAGGCTTTGGTTTCAAAAGATGTGCGGGTGAACAGTTGTGCGCCGTCGCCCGGGAGACATCACAAAGGGTGAGTTGCATGCCATCCCCTCTTGTCTGCGAGGGGGATGGGGGGTGGGAGCTCTCTCTCTCTCTTTCTACACCCCCCCCCGAAAAAAAAAGTGGAGGAGGAAGTTGTAAAGTTTAGGAACTTGAGTTTGAGGGGGGGAGGAGGAGGAGGAGGAGGAAGGGAGGCGTAGTCTGTCGCCGGGAAAGGATGGAAGCGCAAAGCATTTTTGTCTGAAGCGCGACTTGGGCGAAAAAGGTGGCTGCCTTTTTTTTTTTTTTTTGTTCTTTCTTTGCTGGATGTTGTTGCGTCGCCTTTTCTCTGGTCGGATCGTTGGGAACAAACAAAGGCGTCGGAGGAGGAAGGATGGACGGATGGATCGGGTTTTTTTTTTCTCTTCTTTTTCTGAATGATTCCTGGGATGCGTTGTG